GTGTGTGTGTGTGTGTGTGTGTGTGTGCGCGTGCATTCACATGCATGAACATTCCTAATCATGCATGAGTGTGTAGGCACAGGCCTTGTACACGTCACAGCATGCAAGCAGAGGTCAGAGGAAGACTTTCAGCAATCACTCCTCTCCTACCACCACGTGGATTCCTGGGGTCAGATCAGGTACCCAGGCTTTGGTGATAAATCACCTTTACCCACCAAGGCATCTGATCAGTACCCCCTTTGCCTTGCTTTATTTATGCTACAACTTTTCTTATAATTGTTTACTGAAGACTACTATTGCTGTGCTCCTCTCTCTATATAACCATATGCAAATACGTTTCACACTTTTCTACATTACAGGCTTTTAATTTGTGCACCACCGATAAATAAAAACTATTCATTTAAATATATTTACATTTTATGCAATTGCTTTCTTGAATTTTTCAAATTCTTACAATTTTTTAGTTGATTCTTCTATCTTTATCTTTTTCTCTACACATGTAATTGATTCTTGCCTTTTGATTGTTGAAAACTACCTAAAGTTTTAAATAATTGTTATTGTATTAGGCTATGGGATTTACTTAATACTGGACTTTCAGAACAAAAACTTTAGTATTGTGCTTAAAACTACCATTAGTTCGGTCTTCACTTCTAGCTTAAACTGCACATTGTCCACCCCTATGAAAAAGCCCATTCCAATTTTGTTCACTACTCACTGAGGAATAGGGGCTGAGAGTGATAAAAATATTTTCTAAATATCTGCTTAGGTTATGTTTGAAAAATTCCAAGCCGTTGACACCTACATGCTGAATCTTCCATTAAAACAGAACTATGCTGTCATCTTCTGTGTTTGGCAGTTTTCTGCTGTTATAATAGCATAGCATACGCTGGGCAATTTCACAAGAGTAGGAGTTTACTTGACTAATGGTCCTAGAGACTTCAAAGTCCAGGACTAAATTGTTAAATCCCATGAGGAATTCCTTACAGAGTCATAGCATGGGAGATGGGCTGACATGGAGAGGGGGGTTCACATTCATGTTCATACTTAAAAGGACAACGCACTAAGAGAACACTAATCGATCGGTTGACTAGCGAATCTATCAGAGTCCCCATGACATCGGGTTTCCTAATGGGAAAATGCTCAGGCCACAGCCCTGCCTTAATACTGAGTGAGGAAAATGCTCAGGCCACAGCCCCGCCTTAATACTGAGTGAGGAAAATGCTCAGGCCACAGCCCTGCCTTAATGCTGAGTGGAAGCTGAAGCCGGTTTTAGATGGTGTGGTGTTGGCTCAGGAGTAGACGTTCACATCTGGACTAATGTTGTAGGATGTTTTTGTTTGTTTGAAAAAGCAGGGGTTTGAACAGCTCGTTAAGCAGAGGGCTTTTTTTTTCTTCTTTGTAGAAATGCAAACGGGTCCACCAAGGGTAGAATTGCAAAAGCGAAGGGTATACCCACTGTGCTAAGGCAAGAACCCCCTCACACAAGTGACTCCGAGGGACCTCAGGCTCATTCAAGATGTCTCATTCTGAGCTGCCTGTCCTGGCCACACTCCCCTGAGGCAGCGCTGGAGGACCCAAAGCAAAGCCACGGTCTTGACATCTCACTCGTGAAGCTGAAGTCTTGAAGCTACTCAGTGATCAGCTTCATGTCTCTGATGAAGGATCAGGCTTCAGGATTCTCTCTGCCTCCTGCCATTGCTGTCGTAATCAATCGTTGGTGTGGCACTCAGCTTCTTGTAAACAGTGATCCTGGGAGGACTGTGTACTGAGAGTCTGTGGAAAGATATGTCATCTACAGAAGGTGCTAGCGCCATGGACACACACTGTCACTATTCTAGAGTTTCCCCAAATTGTTTGGGTAGTGCTGCTCCTGGGAGAGTACAGAGAAAGAGGGCTCTGTCCAAGGAAGCCCTTCCAGAGAGACACTCGCTCAATGGCCATTTAATAAGTTCAACAAGAAGCTGCATGCTGACAAAGAGGTTGTATAGATAGGAAGAGAGAACATTGGATTAATTTATCCAACAAAAAAATTCTATCTTAGATAGGTTTTTTTCTATTGCTGTTGAAGAGACACCATGACCACAACAACTCTTACAAAGGAAAACATTTAACTGAGGTAGCAGCTTATAGTTTCAGAGGTTCCGTCCATTATCATCGTGGCAGGGAACATGGCGGCCTGTAGGCAGACACACACACAGTGCTGGAGTAGTAGCTGAGAGTCCTACATCTTGCAGCCAACAGGAAATGGACTGAGACATCTGGCAGTATCCTGAGCATAGGGAACCTCAAAAGGGAGCCCCACGGTGACATGCTTCCTCCACAAAAAAAAGTCACACCTGCTAATAATAGTGCCACTCCCTGTGACATTATGGGGATCAACTTCATCCAAGCTAACCACACACACAATGAGGTTTACTTTGGCATACGTTTCTAGAAGACTGAGTCCAAAATCAGGCAGCCTAATGCTTTGCATCTCTTACAAGAGCAGTACATCACAGACAAACATACACCAGAGTGGACGATCATGTGTCAAAGCGGGAAGCAAAGAGAGAGAGAAAGGATGGGAGCCTGGGAGCCTACCATTTCCCTCTGCGTGATCTAGAGATGACTCACATGGCCATAGCTTGTAAGGCTCCGAGCACCTGTGACAGAACCATGCCGGCGGTAGTGGTGGTAGTGGGGAATCGAGCCATTACACATGGACCACTGAGTGCCTTCTCCTTGCACCTAGCCTGGAGACTGAACACACAGTTAGGCAAGCACACGTATGCCACTGAGCTGTAACTGGAGACCATATGTGGAACTCTGGGGGACACTCTGCACCACTTACTCCTTGTCACAAACTGTGCAAGCAAGCATGCAACATTTCCAGCCCCCACCAAGAGAAGAAAGCAAGGCAAAGAGATACGGAGGTGGTATTTCTAAGTTCAAGTGGCTGATGTCCAACGTAGGCGGAATTTCAACCCCAACTGTTTCATTCCACGACCTAAACACTTAATCCCTGTGCTTCCTCTCTCCAAGAAAACAGGCCTCATTTTCCCATTCAGTTCTACTCTTCACTTCTTATATGCACACTACACTCTGTCAAGGACAACCATATCAGCGTAGTACACTCACTGTTCTCTCAGCTGATGAATCCCTGCAGATCCTTGCCACCTCCAAAACACACAAATGATGTCACAAATGCTCATCGCACATCTTTTTGTAAAGACTAAATTTTTTTTGTATTTTTTGTGTGTTTGTGTGTGCATATGTGTGTGCATATGTATGTGTGTGCATGTATGTGTGTATGTGTACATGTGTATGTACATGCGTGTGTGTGTGTGTGTGTGTGTGTGTGTGTGTTCAGGTGCCCACAGAAACCAGAAGTGTCTGCTTCCTCTGAAGCTACAGCTATAGGCAACTGTAAGATGCCCAGTGTGGCTGCCTAAAACTGAATTCAGGTCCTCTCAAGGAGCAGCACATGTTCCTAACCACCGAGATACCTTTCCAGCTCCAAGATTTACTCATTTTTATTTTGTGTGCTATATATGTGTGTCTGCTTGTCTGTGTCTGTGCCATGTGCATGCAGGAGACTGTGGGGCCGAGAGGATGGTCTCAGATTCTCTGGAACTGGGGTTACAGGAGGTTGTGAGCTGCCCTGTGCCCTGTGGCGTCCTGAGAACTGAACCCAGATTCCCTGCAAGAGCAAGTGTTTGTAACCACTGAGCCATCTCTCCTGTCCATCATACATCATCTGATAATCAGCGACAGGTCGTCCATTTGTATAAATTTATAATAAGCAGTGCAATAATTTATATGTGACAGGATGAAAGCATGCACTGGCTATATTTTTCTTTAGCTCCAGAGCCTATATGCTTATTATTTATCATAACAAGTTATAACCGGACGTAAACTGAATGAGTAACTCAGGATGCTTGTGAAGATAGATGTTTTCTCTTCCGTTCTAATTGCCCCCGAGAACCATAAAAGCTGTGTTCTACTTTTGACATTGGAGAGCATCACTCATGCTTTATAAGCTGGCCCGTATTGTGGGTTGGTGTTATGTGTATGAATGGTTACGCAGGAAAATAAAACATGTCTGGTAAAGCCAGGTTTGGTCCATCGGAGTCTCTCATAAGTCTGCATGCCATTCCTCTCCCCGATGCCACAACTGAAACAGGTACAGAGGGGAGTGGAGAAGCAGCTCTACTTCCTACCTGGTTCAGATTCAAAACGCTTATTTCACATCAAACATATGTCTATTCATAAAGAATGAACCTTTTTACAAAACACACACACTGAATCATGCAGGTTACCTGAAGGCGGACAGCTGGGTCAGTCACTCCACTCCTCAGAGGGGCATGGCTTTCCTCCTCTTAGAGCCACAAAGAACACTGGGAAAGAAGATGCGGAAGATGCCGGAAACCTCGGACTTAGATGTTAGCAAAAACAGTCTCACATAGGCTCCGAGGCTAAGCGGTCAACATAAAGGACACAAAACTGACAAGAGCAGTCCCTCCGGGGCCTCAAATAAATCTGCACTCAAGTGCACATGCTCACAGACAGACAGACAGACAGACACGCAGACATAAACCTAATTAAAAATAAAACAACTCTTGCCGGGCGGTGGTGGCGCACACCTTTAATCCCAGCACTCGGGAGGCAGAGGCAGGCGGATCTCTGTGAGTTTGAGGCCGGGCTGGACCGACAGCCTCCAAAACAATACAGAGAAACCGTCTCATAAAAACCAATAAATAAATAAATAAGTAAGTAAATAAAACAACTCTTAAAAAAACCAAACAGGAACAGTGCTCTTGTATATTTCTTTCTTTCCTCTCAGCCCAGACCTCTTTGGATATGCTACAGTCATCCATCATTTCACATGAATTATTCTGTTTTGCAGATCTACACTGATATTGCTGTCGTTGTTAAAAATACCCTTTCTTAAGGTGAGCTGTGTAAGCATATATTCTAACCGTGGGATTCTTGGTGTTACAGGAGACACACGCAGGGAGAGCTCGGATGCTGTGGTCCCTTTAATGCCAAATTCAAATGTTCTGTGTCTATGCAGCAAGCATTCAAGGGGCTCGTTAGTGTTTTTAAACAATGTCCTTGACCAAGCTCTGTGGAGTTGGACTACAAGAGGAATGTGTGCCCATGTTTACAGTTGTACAAGGTAGCTCATGGTTAGGGTTGTGGACGTCGTGGTCACATTGTGACACTAAAACCTTAAGAAGCCGTTTGGCCCGAGTGTGGTTGCTGCCCTTTTTTGCGTCCTCTGTTGCCTCGGGGACTTGGGTCTTACTTCTTCTCAACATCTGGAGAAAGAGAGTCTCTTTAGTCGGTTTTGAAGTTTGATTACTCAGTTTTCCCAAAATCTAAATTCGGAAGATAATTTTTCCCCATAACTGTGGGTTGTAACTCAGTGGTAGAGAGCCTGTCTGGTATGGTTACCTCCTTGGGTTTTTGTCTCTGGGACAGCAAGAATCAACAATGATATTTTCATGATCTAACTCGGGTCTGGCCTGAAAATTAAGACCATAGATTATAAAGCCAGACCGTGTTAGTTTCAAATTTTGGCTCCAGAAATGATTAGCTGGAGCATTTTTCTTAACATCCCTATGCCTAGATAGCCTTTGAAAACGACAGTGCTTTTCACACTCAGTTCATGGATATATTAGTTTCCAAAACATCATAAAATTCGCCACAAACTCACTCACTTTTAAAGCCAGGTACAGAGGTGGCTCAGCAGCTAAGAGCACTGGCTGCTCTTCCAGAAGACCCGGATTTGTTTCCCAGCTCACTACCCTATGCCACTCCAGTTCCAGGGGACCCGGCAGCCTCTTCTGGCTTGTGGGGCACCAAGTACACACACCATGCACTTACAGACATGCATACACCTGAAATAACGATAAATACATGTTGTAAAGAGATACTCACTCTCTTGTTGTTCTGAAGAGCCACATAAAATAAAGATAAAGCAAAAATAATTTCAAAAGATAATTATTCACTCATGGTTCTGAAGCACAGGTAATTAAAAAAAACTCAGGGAAATGCAATATAATCTTTTTATGTAAAAGGAAACACAGAATGAAATTACAGTGGTGACAGATGGTGGCTGGGGTGCAGAGGATCTGGTCCTCTTGAAGGAGAGATTCAGTCAAGAGATCGAGCAGAAGTTCATTCAGTAAAGCTAAGCCAAGCAAACACCGGAGAGAGATCACAGTGGGCTCCCCCAAGGCAAGCACGGTGTGGTGAGTTCTTCCCCGTAGACTTTAGAGAAGTATTTCTGAATATTTGGTGGGAGGCAATGAAGTGTTTATTAGGATTACACTTCCACATGGAAGGGAATCAGGGCAGAAACTCAAACATGGCAGGAACCTGGAGACAGGAACTGGCTGAGGAGATGAAAATGTTTCCCAAGGTTATTAAAAAATCAGTCACAGCCTTCGGTGTATTTAGGTCAGTCCTCTTGTTAGTGTTACATGCTGTGTCAAATGCTAACTTATCACAAGGGCACACTGGTTAATGTGTGTATGAATGTCAGGGTAAAACAGTAGTGTGGAAAAAGAAACTTATTGTGGACTGAGATTTTTCTCTGTCCTGATGGTTCCCCTGGAACAGTTTCTGTCCTGCTTGCAGGTCCCCGAAACTGCTTATGAAATAACCAGTCAGAGGCTAATATTAAATATAATTCTTTGGCCAATGGCTCAGGCTTATTACTGGCTAGCTCTCTGTTATAGATTAACCCATTTTTAATAATCTTCATGTCACCATGTGGCCATGGATTACCAGTAATGTTCTGGCATCTTACACCTTCAGCAGCTACATGGCATCTCCCTGACCTTCTTTCTCTCCGTGTCTCTGGGTTTCCTGCCTAGCTTTATTCTGTCTGGCCATTGGTCAAAACAGCTTTATTCATCAGTCAATAAAAGCAACACATACTCACATCATATAGAAGGACATCCTATATCAGCTTATGAAAGTCATATCTATTACCATCCTCTGTCTACCTGCTGTTCTACTGACACACTTACCCAGAAAGGTAGTTCATAGGCATTTTGAGAATCCTCCAGGACTGGGTAAGTTGTAAGGAGCATTATCTCCATTTAAAACTCCTTCTTTTTTTTTAAAGCAGCCTAAAGTAAAATGAAATTCAGTCATTTTTTGCACACATTAAAGCAAACTAGATTGAGCTATTGGTGTTGTCATCTACTTCCAACCATAGCCAATGGTTCAGTGCTATATCCTGGAGAGTGAACAGTATCTTTCATTCTAAAGAACTCTGAGCATATCACATGACATTGTCCAGCAATTACAAACTGTCCAGAGAGAGAAGGTGAGTGAAGGAGAGAAGGGAAGAAATGGGGTAGGGGAGGGATAGAAGCAGGCTGTTAGTGTGTCTTCTTTTGAAAAATGTGTGTATTTAACTCTTCAATCTCCAGTATCCCTGTGGTGTTATCTTGCTTGTACAAATAAAGTGTGTCTGAAGATCAGAGGGTGGAGCTTGTCACTAGCTAACCATAGAGATCTGGAGGTCTGTACAGATAGCCAGGAAGTGAGATGGCTGGGCAGAGACAGGAAGTAAAATGGCTGGGCAGAGAGAGGATATAAGTGGGAAGAAACAGGAACTCACTCTCTTTTCCACTGGGAAGCTAATGAGGTAAAGATGGCTTTGGATTGCTTCTTCTCTCTCTCTCTGATCTCTCAGCATTTTCCTCTATATGTGACTCTGGGCTTTTATTGTTTAGACCAATTAAGAACTCCATTTACATCCCCCTGATTTGCTGTGCGTGTGCTTATGTGTGTGTGTGTCAGTGTGCATGTCTGTTATCCATGTGTGTGTAGGTATACATGCGTGCCCATGCATGTAGACACCAGAGGACAACCTTAGCTGTCAATCCTTAGCAACTACCTATCTTTATTTTTGGGGGGCATAGGGAAGCATTTGTCATTTTCTTGAGCCTTGCCAGTTCAGCTAGGCTGGCTAGCCAGCCAGCCTTAGGGACCTGCAAGTTTCTACATTCCCAGTGCTAGGGTTCACGTTCTTGTCATGGGTTCTGAGGATCAAGGTCATGCTTGCCTGTCATGTGTTTGGTCAGCTGAGCTATCTTCTGGGCCTCTCTCCTCCTGAACTGTTTAATTCCTTTGATATTCTGTGTAGAAATCACCTGTCAGTTGAATGGATGTCATGTTTCCCCCCTTCTCCAGGTTCTGTATGCCCGCTGTTAATGGATTCCTTTTCTGTGTGTAAGCTTCTCAGTTGGATGTAATCATGTTTGTCATTTTTTTTGCTATGTCCCTCAGAGACATAGCAGGGACTTTTCCCGTAAGTAAATGCCACCTCCAGCCACTTCTTAACTTTACCTAGTGTCTAAGAGAGTCTTCTCTCCATCTTTGGACTTGGAGAGTTTGACCTAGTCTTGGGCTAGGTAGACTTTTAGCATGCATGTAACTACTTGTATCCATTTACAGATTTGGAAATTTTATTATTATTATTTTCTTGGGTAAGCTGTCTTCCTATATGGTATTCTTATGTAGCTTTTGAGTTCCAATAACCCAAAAAAGTTCCTGCTTTATTGCTCTCCAAACTTCCCAAAGTCTATTTCATTGTTTTCTTTTATGACTCTCTGTAGCATGATAAATAAATGACCCAGAGACTGATATTCAAGCTTCAAGCTGAAGATCAGAAAAGCAAAGGAGCCAGTCGCTAGCTCTTAACTCTAACTCAGACTAAAAGTTGATCTTGGCTCCACCAAACCTCAGACAGCAATCCCAGACTGCTATGTTCTCGTCAACGTGGCTGGAGAATCCTGAGACTTAATGTCAGCTCTGAGACCTTGCTCCTGTCTTATACATCTCCCTAATGCTGGAATTAAATGCATGGGATCCCAGGTGCTGGAATCAAAGGCATGAGCTCGGTTACTCTTCACTCTTATGTAGGCCATGGTGGCCTTGAACTAACAAAGATCTGCCTACCTCTTAATCCTGAGTCCTGGAATTAAAGGTGTATACCAACACTGCCTGATCTCTATAGCTTGAGGCTGACTTTGCTTTCTGAATCCTCAGGCAAACTTTAATAAATCATAAATAATACATCATCACACCCTTCTGAATGTTTCCTTACAAATTTCCTGTCTTTGAACTTACTAATTATCTCTTATTTGGCCTATTCTGTTACCCACACTTTCTGCCACATTTCTAACTTTGCTTAGTGCATTTTTCAGCTAAAGATTCCTGCTTGAAATCTTTTACAAAGCAACAAAGAACTGTAAGAACAAAGACAGACGTTGACTGGAGACACTAAATTAGAATTTAAAGACTAAATTTGGAGCAAAGTATGGTTTTTTATGATAACAATAAACATGTAGAGAACTTACCAGGTCTATCTTACCTTTCTCAGAGCTCAGCAAACATGAATTCATTTATATATGCTCGTTAAGTAATTAATTTAGTCACTGTTCTTTTTTTATCCCTCCCTCCTCTCCTTCCAGTCCCCCACCCCTGCCAACTCCTCTTTTATTCTCAACACCAAACCACTCCTCCTCCATTTCTGTTCAGGAAAGGGCAGGTCTCCCATGAGAATCATCAAAGCATGGCATATCAAGTTTCAGTAAGACTAAGCACCTCCCCATGTATTAAGTCTGGGCAAGGTGATACCGTATAAGGAGCAGGGTCCCAAAATCCAGTAGAAGAGTCAGAGGCAGCCCCTGCTCCCACTGTTAGGAGACCCCCAAGAGGACCAAGCTACACAACTGTCACATATGTGCAGAGGGCCTGGGTCAGTCCCATGCAGGCTCCCCGGGTGTCAGTTCAGTCTCTGTGAGCCCCTGTGAGCCCAGGTTAGTTGATTCTGTGGGTTTTCTTGTGTTCTTGACCCCTCTGGCTCCTACAACCCTTTCTCCCCATCTTTTGCAGGATTCCCCAAACTCTGCTTGATGTTTGGCTGTGGGTCTCTGCATCTCTTCCCCTCAGTTGCTGGATGAAGCCTTTCTGATGACAATTGGGCTGGGTACCAATCTGGTCACAGGAAATGGCTATTTCAGGCTATGTATCTGCTATTGCTATCTTTGTATATTTCTGTTTTTTTTTTAAACCTGAGCCCGAAATGCACCCCTGACACTTTCCAATGGTGTCTTTCAGTACTCTCCTCTTCTGTCACCTGCTATCTGATCACCCATGTTTCCATCCCCACCCACCCTCAGTCCACTCATGAAGCCTTCTATTTTCCCTACCCAGGGAGACCGAGGAGCCTCCCTCCTCCCCATTAGCCCTCCTTGTTACCTAGTCTCTCTGGGTCTATAGATTGTAGCGTTGTTACCTTTCTTTTTTCTTTTTCTTTTTTTTTAATCACCATTGTATTGCTGTGAAGAGACACCATGACCAAGACAATACTTATAAAAAGGAAGCATTTATTTGAGGGCTGGCTGACAGTTTCAGGGGCCTCAGTCCATTATCATCATGGCGGGGGACACGGCAGTAGGTAGGACTGGTGCTGGAAAAGGAGCGGAGGAGAGGTACATCCTGATCCACAAGCAGAGAGAGAGAGAGAGACAGAGACAGAGACAGAGACAGAGACAGAGACAGAGACAGAGACAGAGAGAAGAGAGAGACAGAGACAGGGAGAGAGAAAAGCCTTGCCTTGTTGTGGGCTTTTGAAACCTCAAAGTCCACACCTAGCAACATGCTTCCTCCAACAAGGCCACACCTCCTGATCCTTCTAAACCTTTCAGACAGTTCCACTCCTGGGTGAACAAGGGTTCAAATATGTGAGCCTATGGAGGAGGGCATTCTCACTTGAACCACCACAGCACACGTTATTATCCATGAGCTACAGGAAAAAGAAAAAGACTGAAATGTGGTTAAAGTTGCATAATGTTAATTTAAGAT